GCTGATAATCGATTATCACACTCTGATAATCGATTATCAAACTTCAGAGAGGGCTGACAGTCGATTATCACATTCTGATAATCGACTGTTGCTCAGCTTTGTTACAAAAATCTGCAGAACGATGAATAATCGATTTTCAAGTTGATAATCGATTATCCATCGTCTTCTACCTCGAGCCAACTTGCGGAAATGTCACTTTAACTCACCAGACTTCAATTAAAGTATATAAAAGTGTTCTTCAAGGTTCATAGATCATTTTGGAATCAGTAATTCATAGTTTTAACATCAAAATCATGGTTTACGATTCTTAGTTCTTCAAACATGTCAAACACAAAACTCAACCAAATGAACGTTTATGAACGTAAAATCGATCTATATGAACATTCTAGTCACTAGATATATCTACGGGCTTACTTCGAAGCTTAACGATGATTCCGGTGATTGGACGATGAAACTTCCGGCGAACACCATGGCTTGCTCCGGTGACTTTGGCGGCAACAAACTATTGCAAAATGCTCTCCTCACTCTTAGGATTTTAATGGGATTAATTTTATAAGGAATGGTGCAGATTTGGAAGCTGGTTTTTTTTTCCTCCTTATATAGGAAATGAAGAAGAAGAAGACAAGTCCTGTAGCTGTAGCTCTACGTAGGAAATGAATTAGTGTGCTGGGAGGCGCCGTCTCCACAGTGTCCCTGATTAGGACCAATTTTGGTTCTAGTCGGGGTACACTTTTTTATCCAACTTTCTCCAAATTGAAATCCGTTCGCACCGTTGCGATCAGACAGTCGAATTCTATTCAACGATATACTTTTCATAATTATTTGTAATACTTTTTCCGACATCATATTTTTGGGTGGTTGACTTTGATAGAGTAAAAATTGATTCAGTTGACCTTTATTTAAAAAGGTTCTCATATTTAATTCATATTAATTATTCTCATCATTTATTTCAATAAATCATTTTAATGTTCACATCATAATTAATTTCTTCATTTATTCTTGATTTGGGTCTGTACTTAGGTTCCCAATCAAGACCACACAAATAGTCAATAAATTGGATTTATCTCTATGAGATTTATCCTGATTATGATATGGGATATCAAAACATATTTTTATCGGCCCAAAGCCCATAACAATTTATTTTAATCAAAACAAATTTGATTTATTTTAATAATTATCTATTAATAATTCTAAGGTATGTTTTGGGGCGTTACAGCTTAAATATGAGAATATGAAAGGTTCAAAAACCGGTGTGGGACAAGGGTTTTTACTCTTCCCTCATATTCAACTTTGAAAATTAATTTCTCATTCACCCGAGCACCGTTTACGGCGTGTAATATGTCAAGACATTCGTCTTACTTACGAGATTAAATGTCCATAATTATTTTCGAAAATAATTTTGTGGACCCTACCGAATTTATGTCTAAAAAACGTCCAATTTATTTAAAAATTTCCAACATGTGTGACTAGGGTGGTGGTGATCGTGATGATAGTTTGGTGATGACAATGACAATTTGGCGGGATAGTGGCCATGAGGTGGCAGCAGTGGCGGGTCCAGAATTTTAAATAGTTGGGGGCACAAAAGGTCGGGGTATAGGTGAAGCGCCTAAGTTTTTTCAATAGCAAATTTAAAATAATAAAAAAAGTTATAAATATTTAACTATTTTTTTGATGTGATTTTTTGAATAGACAATTTAAGATTTTATATTTTAAAATATTACTTATAGTTTTATGCATTGAAACACACTTTAGTTAGGGTCTCTTCAATTTTAGTTGGGGTCAAATAATAGATGAGTGTAAAAAATTTAAAAAATTAACCTTAAAACCCAAAAATTAGTTGGGGGCCATTGCCCCCTACTTCTAAGGCATAGATCCGCCCCTGGGTATGGTGTGGCGGTGGCAGTGTGGTGGTGGTGGTGATGATGGTAGTGGTGACGGTGAGGATGATAGTATGGTGGCGGGGATGCAGTGTGGTGGTACGAGAGATAGTGTGGTGGTGGAGGATTATTGTGCGACGGGGACGTTGATGTTGTTCATAGTAGTGTGACAATAGATGGTAGCAGTGTAGCGGGTGTGACATTGGTGGTGTCAGTGTGGTGATGGTGGTGGTGGTGACAATGATGTTAGTGTGGCGGCGGAAGGAGACAGTGTGACATCGCATGGAGACATGGTGGAGGTTGTGCAGTGTGGTAGCAAAGGGTGCAGTATGGTGGTGGTGGAAGTGTGGTGGCGGGGGGAGGGAGGTAGAGGTGGCAACAGGGGGACAATGTGGGGGTAAGGGAAGGCAATTGGTAACCCAAATTAATATAATTTTAGGAATTAATATAAAAAGGGTAGAATGAGTGTATTAAAGATAATGTCACGCTGGATACTCCTATTGATGTAAAAATGTCATTGCGGTGCTAGATATGTAACATTATAGTGCTACATAGGGAAATATGCCAAAATAAATGTATCACTATTTGTTATGTATATTTTTTGTGTTGTTTTAAATATATAAATTTTACTATTTATTTCTATAACAATTTTAAATAAAATCATTTTAAAATAGATGAGATTTAGCACGTTGTTTGAAAAAGAATTTCCATTTGCCCACAAATTTTCATCGCGTTTATTATTCACATTGTCAAACTTTATTCACTTTATTTATCTATTTTCGTTCCCCATTTGATAAAATAATATAATCATGTAACGTCTACTTTTGTAGATATTTTAGTGCAGTTTTTAAATACTACTCACTCCGTCATAAAACTATATTCTAGATGACCTAGTTAATGATTAAACTTTATTTAATTTATTTATCTATTTTCATTAGTCGTTTCAAAAAAGAATTTAGATATCCTCTTATTTTGTAGAACTTTTGATGTGATTTTTAAATATATAGGTTTTAGTTTTAGATTTTACACGTATAATCAAATAAATTAAATTAAAAATAACTTCCGTCCACAATAATTTCACAATATATAGGTTTTATTTTCTAATTTCACAATAATTTTAACACACTCCGTAATAACACACTTTGTTTAAATCAAATTTACTTTAAATTAAATTCGTTATTTGTATTCAAATATAATGATTTGAATACGCATTATTCAAATTCAAATTCAAATATTAGTTTTGATTCGAATATGAAACAAATACAAATACAAATAGGAGTATATTCGATTCGGGTGATATTTGAATATTTAAATATATGTATGTACACACAAACCTTGTTTCAATATCAATTGTCAAGCAAACTAATATAGTAAGAAATGTAATTAAATTACTAAGAATTCAACAAATAAACGCAACACAAAAATCTAAAACATTTGATTTTTAATAGTTATACTTTATAAAATATAATTTGTGTAAGATAAAAATGTATTGATGTTTTTAGATATAGTATAAGAAGTATCGAAAGTTAAAATTTTCAAAATCTATGTCCGTCCATCATATAAATTACGGAGTATGATTATTAAAATATTCGTTTAGGATTTGTTAAGTATTTGAATATTAATCAAATACAAATTCAAATCTTATTTTTAATTCGTCTCATATTCGGATTTGGATTCGTATTCTAAAAAATTAAACAAATATAATTTCAAACATCTCGATATTCACTTTGATTCGGTTCGTTTACACCCCTACTCCCAGTCTCATTAATTCTTTGCATTCCGCTTTTCGGATGTCACTAGAAAAGAAACAATACTTTATTTTTATTTTAGCAATAAAAATGTGGCTACCAATAATTTTCTCTCATCTAAACAAATTCTAAACATATACTCCCTCCTACCTAAATTGTTTGTAACATTTTCAAGGGCGTGTAAAATATCATTTCTTTTAATATCATTTTATTTATAAATTAGCATAGAAATAAAATATAAAAATTACATCGCTCAAAAGTACATCAAAAATTTTACAAAATAAAATGCGACAAGATTATAATATTTTGTTTAATTAAATAGTCAACCAAAATGAGTAGACAAATAAAAACTATCGAGAGGTCGAAATAGTAATCATGACATTTTTTTGGGACGGATGAAGTATTATTTTACTTTCCCCAACTTTTTATATAGTCAAAGTGTTAAAAATTTTAGCAATAAGTTATTTGTACCTCAAATTATACACCACAAGTGTGTACCCTTATTTTGTGTTAGTGTGATGCTAGAGTGATAATTCACACAGGCACAAAATATTAGTTCACATTTTTTGTTACACTAGCATTTTGTATCAGTGCAAACTATAAAAATATTAGTATATATTTTTTGTATAACTTTAGGTAAACTCATTGCTGTAATTATAGCATGGTTGAAAATTTTACTCCCTCTGTCCCTATATCTTTTCTCTTTACGCAAAGCTAAGTAAAATACTAAGTTTTTTGAATCCATTTTATTTAAAGATTGATTTACAAATAAAAAATAAAATTAACATATTTAAAAAGTTTATCAAAAATTTTACAAAACAAAATATGATAATAATATTTTATTTCATCAAATGATCAATGAAAACAAACAAACTTTCTCGCAATTTTTAATAGTAATTAAAATGTGACACTGACACAAAGTGTTGATACATTAACAAAAATTTGCACTGACACAAACCGTTGGTGCGTTAACAAAATTTAATATTATCCTAACACAAAATGTTGGTGCATTCCTACAGTGTACAAAATGGAGTACAAATCCTTGGATACAAATAAAGTACAAATCCTTGGATACAAATAGCTTTATGAAGTGAAAATGTCAAAGCGATATAAGAGTGGATTTTATCCATTAGGATAAAGCTACTTGTACATCAAGGTTTTGTACTCCATTTGTACACTGTAGGTGTGCACTAATATTTTGTGTTGGTATAATGCTAATTTTTGTTGGTATAATGTTAATTTACTTTTGTCATTATAAATTTTTGTTAACACACCAATAGTTTGTGTCAGGGTGAACCATCAAATTTTGGTGTCCACTATTATCCTCCTTTCAACTTTATTTCTGAGTTCTGACTTGTATGTACCACCACTTTCTCTCTCTCTCTCCTCTTCCCAAATCCCAACATAGGATCTTATCTCCATATTTATTGTCCCTGTTTCCTATCCCCTAGCTAGCTTCTATATTAACCGTTGTTTCCCTTTGTTTTTTTGATTCTTTCCCCCTTCGGCCCGGCCCCCATTCATTCATTCATGTCACCTAAATTACCTGCTTCTTCGCCTCCCTCGCCTCACCCCTGAAGCTGCTGCTGCTGCTCAAGTTCCTTCCTTCAACGCAGTATGTGCTCTTTTATTTTATTTTTTTCTTCTTCGCTTATTACCATAACTACTTTTTCTCCTCTTTTTTTCATTTGTGTTCTTGGAATTGGACTCTACTTAGTGTTGGAGTTTTTATTCTTTTCCAAGCCCTACAACCACAAGAACTCTTGGTTGAATTGATTACATCAAATTTAAAATTCTCGAGTTCGAATTTCATTGCCAACCAATAAAATTTAAGAAAAATGATTTCACGTGTAAGATTTGAGCAAAAATAAATCTTGTCGATCTGTACGTGAATGGGTGTATTGGAGTATAAAATATTTTTGGGGTTTGCTAGAGATACCTGAGGTGAGTGCCTTGGTGTGTCTGTGAGAAGGATAGTGTACACCTGGGGACACTTAGTTTTCTAGTGTAATTTTTCATTTTTTCTAATTAGTTCTTTATTTCGTTAGGGGTTAATCCCGTATTTACCCTTATTAATTACGGAATATTAGTTATTTATCACATCTTATTTTATGTTGTTACGGGATAAAGCAAATTTAGATGGGAAAGTAAAATTCAAATTGCACTTACCTTTAATAATCTGCATCGATTTTATCAAATGTGAAAATGTTTTTTTTATACAAAGGAAGTACTAGTTAAAAGTGGAAATGTTTGCAATTAGTAATCATGTTTTGGAGCATTTGTTAATGTTTTATACCCATCGCGTCCCAAAACAATAAATGCTAGCTAGTTACTCCGTACTATTTACAATTCAAACTAATTCAACTTTTTTTATATCTTTATCAATAATTTAACAAAAAATTTAATTTTGTCACTACTTGTTTTTTAGAACGTTTGATTTAGTTTTTTAATCTCTAAATTTTATTTTTTCACACCAATTTTAATTATATTGATTTGAAAATAATTTTAATTGAACATCGTAACCCAAAGTCCCAAACAAGGGCCTTATTTTGAGGCGGATGGAGTAATTGACACCAAAATGATTAAAGATCATTAGATTAATTTTTTTTCTAGTTTGATGCATCGAATCTACACTCTTAGAAATGCAATTTGCACTTCGGAATTGAGTGTCCCCAACAGTTCACAATTTATAGAATAGAATATCAATTGTGGAGTTCTTCTGTTATGCATCTTGGGTGGGTCCCAAGTAAGCATTCTCACATAATTAAATTACTCCCTGCGTTCCTAAATATATCTCACATTTTTATTACTAAAGTAACAATATCAAGTTTTTTCAATTCATTTTATTTATATATTGGCATAAAAATAAAAAATAAAATTTACATATAAAAAACTACATGAAAAGTTTTTCAAAATAAGAGATGTCAAGAATATTTTATTTCATCAAATAACCAATGAAAACATAGAAATAAATAAAAATTTTAGCGATTGTTGAAAAAGTAAATGTGCGATATATTTAGGGAGAGAGGGAATAATTGCCCGTAAAAAAGTTAAAATAGTCACAAATTTACCGGTATTTTTAGCTTTATGTGAGAAGAATAATGTCAGCCTAGGTGCCCTACCCTAAGAATTAGCAATTAGCCATAGTCATGTTTTTTCTAATTTAGGTGTCCCAAAGAATGACTCATTTCATTTATGCAAAGAAATTTCATTTTACATTATTTCTATTTAATTTCTTCAGTATAAATCTCAGTCATATATTATCACTTCTTCTCAAATTTTCTTAAAATCAACCCAGTACATTTATTTAGGGACAAAAGATCACAATAAAATTTGGGTTAATAATTAGATTCGAAAGTGTAGAAATATATGTGTGCTTTTTCTCGTAGGTATTATTATTAGCCCACAATCCTGTCTTGAAAAATCATGCCCAAAGTGTTCTTTCCCATAACATTTTCCAGGGACAAATTTGTTAATGAGTTTGCTTTATCTCTCAGGTTGTTCCACTTCATTGCTATCTTGAATCAATAAAAAAAGTGTGGTGTTGATAGATTGTTGCTATATAATTCTCTTGTCATCATGAATCGCCCAAATCTCAATCATCGGTGTGAAGAAGATGACTCTGAGGCGACAAGTTGTGTAGCCTCGAACTTATCCTGCATCACCAATTCGGTAAACCTCCCGTCAATGGATCCCTCTCCCGTTGCTCTTGACTTGACCCTCGGCTTCATCAATGGCGATGAAGTAGCGACGGCCCCACATCGTCCTCCGCAAGGGCACCAACTATCACGGGTCTTCTCGTGTCACTTCTGCCGGCGCAAGTTTTACAGCTCCCAGGCTCTGGGAGGGCATCAGAATGCCCACAAGAGAGAGCGGTCTCTGGCGAAGAGGGCGATGAGAATGGGAATGTTGACGGATAGATACACTTCTCTTCCCATCCATGGATCCCCATTTTGTTCCCTCGGGGTGGAAGCTCACAGTTCGATGATCCACCCGAGTTTTCCCCGCCACGTGATGCCAAGTGGTAGTAGTACTAGTAGTCCTTTGACTCTTTCCCACGGTGGCGGGGTCGGGGGGGGTGGTGGTGGTGGTGGAGGAGGAAGAGGAGGAGCAAGGTTTGAGCAACAATCATACTTTAGCGTCCCAGTATTAGTGGAGGACGAGGATGCTGAGATGATCTGGCCCGGAAGCTTCCATCAAGTCGATGGTATCCATCCCGGGCGAGGCTCTAATGTAAGTTTCGTCACAGTGCCTCTTCCTAATCCTAGTACAGAATCGACATCTCCAAACCTCGATTTGAAACTATGATATCTTCTTCTTTCACGGCATGTTCATTTTTACAATATGAAAATTTCTTAGCTCTTGTTTGGGAATATCGTTTTCAATAAGCGTTAGCGTTTTGAATAATTTTTTTAATGGTGCGGATTAATTTTGAAAAAGCCACCATTACATACCATTTTCAAAACGCTAATGCTAAATACTAAAACGATTACCAAACCGGCCCTTAGGTTATCCACGGTTTGCTGTTTGCCTATAGAGATGTTCTTTATTCCCAAGGAGTCCAATATATAACATGGTGATAAATTTTTCCCAAGATTTCAACCTTGGAATTACTGATGTACAAATTACAATATTCTCAAGGAACTCAATATTTGGTTTTGAAATATGCAAACCCAGTGCCAAAGAGATGAGGCAATATATATATGGTATATCCAGTTATACGGTATTTTCTGAATACTCATTTACGAGTAACAAAATACTCATGTTGCATATTTCTTTATTTTAGTTGTACATCTAGCTTTATTTAAGTTGAAATGAGTATTATTGTGTGATTTGTGTTACTCAAAAATGTACATTCTGTATAAACGTAATGAGTAAAGTGTAGTTTTCAAATACACATACATATAGTTTGTAATGTACATGTTTTGAATATATACCAAAATAAATAAATATAAGAAATGAGTATTCTGTTGCTTGAAAATGAGTATTCCGTTACTTGTACGAGAACTATAATACAAGTGAATGTATGATATAGGAACTCAACAGAAGGTCTTTAGCATGTACACTTCTTTTAAAACTATTATATCAGAAATAATACAAATACGAGGAAAAGAAAAGAAGAACAATAAACACAATCGACAACAAATTTAATGAGGTTCACCAACAATGTCTTAGCTATGTTCTCGAGGCAGAAGGGAAAGAGTTTTATTATGAGAAGATAAGAATACAGAGTTTTCAGAATGACTGCTAAGGTTGAGGTAAGAGATTTATATAACACTCTCTTACTATAAAGCAGAAACCTTAATTAGGTCCAAAGTAAGAAACCTAGCCCAATGCAAAATAACAGACACCATTTAGGTTTCGGGATGAATCAAGGCATAGTTCAACAAATCTCCTTCTTGAGTTGAATTTTCTCTAAATCAGATAGATGTACCACATGCACCCTAAGTGCCAGATGTACCAGATGCTCTTCTCCCTTCTACCCTTCAGATATTGCCCACAAAGGGGCAATCAGATTATTCGTATATTTAGCAAGTCCAAACAGTGCTGGAACTTGCCATGCGAAATTGGCTTGATAATCTTGTCGGTTAGGTTATCGGTAAACCTGGCAAAACAGACCTGGACCCGATAACCCGAACTGAATAACTCATAATCGAATTTGAAACGACTCGAAAGTTGAAGAATCTAATAAAATTCTGTTATATAGTTGTCTCAACGCTAGAGGGGGGAATAGCGTTTGAAACGAAGAATCGGAGGAATTAAAAAATTAAGAACAAAAGTAACGAGTAAGGAGAAGGCACACCCATTTTACCCTACTTCACCACAACGTGTGGCTACGACAAGCCTCCCAAGAGACTCTATCAAGTTACATTATCAATATTAAGCTTAACGGTGTTTAACAAAGCCGTACAACTTAAGAGTTCAAGTTACACAAACCTCAACAAACCTTCAAGGGAAACAGACCTTCCTTCGAACTAACAAGAGAATTACTTTCTCTTATCTAGTGTCTCAAACACAAACACGCTCAATAATTTAGAGTAGATATTAAGTAACTAATAACGCTCAAGAACGCAACAAGCACTTCATCACAAAAGTGGCTCTCAAAAGCTATGAAAAAGATGAGAAGGTAATGCAATGAGGGACTATTATTTGTGAAGTAATTGGATGATAATTGCAGACCCAAAAACTCCGATTTATAGTGGAAAAATAGGCTCTAATGAGTGGGAGTGGATTAAGGATGATTGGCATTATTTTTGGAATTTAATTGAAAAAAGGATTTGCTGGATATAAGCCTAACATCGATGTTCAAGTCCTGAACATCAATGTTGAGGCTTAAACTTTCTAACTGGAAGCTTAAGCGATCACCATAACATCGATGTTCAATAGGTGAACATCATTGTTTAGGGGGTTGACTTTCAAACAATGAAAGTTTTAGCCTTTAATATCTTCCAACGGTCAGGTGCCAACATTGATGTTCACAAGTGAACATCGCTGCTCATGAATAGACTGCCAAAGGAAGATTTTGGCCTAACATCGATGTTGCTGGGCCAACATCGCTGATCAAAAAAATCTGCCAAAACTCATATTTCATAGCTTTGAACTGAACATTAATGTAGGGACTCCTACATCGCTGTTACAAAAGCTACTGGAATTTTAAGCCTGGCGTAAAAGTGATGTTTACTTTATAGCATCGCTATTAGGAGACTTTCTGCCATACCATAGTTTTTAGGTGCAACACCAAATAGCATTATTGCATATCCAACATCGTTGTTGGGCTGGTTCGCCAGAACCATGGCTAGCTAGTCAATGCCGACAGCCGATGTCAAAAATCAAGTTTCTCTAATTTAAAAACCAAGTGATGAAAACAATTATTTAATGTATTTAAATAAGAAACCAAGTGATATATCTTAAAAATCACGTCATTAAGGTAAAAACCACGGTTAGCCAAGTTTATGTCATTTCACATGATTTTACCAAAAGACCAAAATTGAAAGGTGGTTTTTAACATATTTTTATTGGAGAACTATTTAAATATGCCCATAAGTAAAAACTAATCATAAAATATTAAAAACCAGTTGGTTGGTTCAGATGTTGAAAACCAACGTAGATAACCGAAAGACAAACGCTGGTTTCTGAAAGCCGAACGCCGGACATCGTGGTTTTTGGTTTGACTGAATGCCAAGTGTTTTGGGCTTTTGAAAACTTTACGAAATTTTTTTTTATTGATGCATGAAAAATATTTTAATGAGTTTAACATAGAGAGCAAAGTTAGCAAGGTCTTGATCACATTAAGACTGGCTCATCTATTTTCTAAGTCTCCATCTTCGTTCTTGATTCTTGTTTTCACTTGATCATTATGCAATGTTCTTTGCCTTGAGTTTGTTCAATGTCTTCTCATCTTCACGGCGGTTTGTCATTATCAAAATTTGTCACAAATGAACATGGTTTTAGTACAACATAGGCGTAAACACCTGTTCCAACAATTTCGAACACCCGAAATGAACCAAAACAACATTCGAATGTATTAAAACCCGATTCATATCTAGACCCGATTAAAGTTGAATCGATTAAATCTAAACTGATTAAACAGGGAACTAGTTAGACCTGAAATTGATTAGACCCAAAATGCATTAGACTCGATATTGATCAAGTTCAAAACAAATTAAACTGAAATCTAGTCAAACTTAATAGCTCATTAGTTGATATCTTTCTAAGAACTATATATTTAAATTATAGGTACAACTCATTTAATGTACTCATCTTTTACTCCATATTTTATTATTTAAACTAAGGTTTCTGTCTATTTTTATATAGGATAAATAATTTATAATGACATCGTAACACACATTGATGGATATATTGGCTCATTATTACGGAGACTTGTATATATGTTCCCTTTACACATAGGGAAGGGATGCTACACACAAGGCTAAGATTTGGAACTCTAATACCAAGAGGTCTTATTTGAAACCGTAACAAACCCGGACCAATATAAACTTGAACTAGTCTAAACGCGGATTAGTGTAAACCCGAACCGATATAAACCCGAATTGAAACCGAACTGAAACTGAAAAAATTCAAATTGAATTTAACTTGGAACCAAACTTAACCAAACCGAACTGACCCAGACCGATTATAACATATACTCCCTCCGTCCAAAATTAAAGTTCCCAGTTTGACTTGGTGCGCAAATTTATGTGGGATGAAATTTGAGTTGACATTCCTATTATACCCCTCCACCTTTCAGCCCTTTACCCCACTGACATCTAGCCCCCCACCGCTGACGAGGCTTCTGCAACCCCTCACCGTCGAAAGCCCCCGCTGTCGTTGTCCCCCGCCGTCGCCGCCCCCTTTCGTCCCAAGCCCCCGACATCTTTGCCGTCGCAGACCTGCATCTTTCTCAATATAGCGTTTCTGTGATAAGAAAAGTTTCTTCTTGCTTCTATCTCGATAGATCTCCAATCCCAAAATTTTCTTAGTAGCACCCAAATCTTTCATTTCAAACTCAACACAGAGGACTAGTTGTTCGCCAGGACCTTATTGTGGCTTTGGTCAAGCCGTAGACTAGTTGTTCTAGCTAGGACCGTATTGTGGCTTTGGTCAAGCCTGTTCTAGGCCCCCTTTCCCTTTCTTATCCTTTGTACTCCCCAGAAAGCTTGTCTTCCGTATGAGGGGTTGGCGTTAGGCCTCGGTTTGGTCCTCCCCTCACTTTGTGGTGACGATGATATCTTAATAATACTCGGTAAGGGTTGCCTAGACCTTACCCCACCATACTTGGTGGTTTCCCCACTGGGATTAAAAAAACCTCAGCACAGAGGAGACCCTTCAACTTCTGAACATCAGACTAACTCTTTGCATCTACTAACATAGCATCGACATATATCACAAGATAGATGAATGAACCATTCTCTACCTTGTTGTAATATACACAACAATCGTACACACACCTGGTATAGTCGAGTTTCATCATGTAGATATCAAACCGCTTATACCACTGCATGGGAGACTGTTTTAGCCCAGATAAGGACTTTTTCATCTTGTAAACATAGTCTTCTTATCCGTGGACCTAAACACTTTCTGGTTGAGTCATGTATATCTCTTCTTCAACCTCTCCATGTAAGAATGCTATTTTAACGTCTAGTTTTTCAAGATCCAAATCTTAATGTGCAATTATTTCTAATAGCTTCCTTATGGAAGTGTGTTTGACCACTGGTGAATAAAATCTCATTATAGTCTACCATTTCTCTTTGCATTAACCCCCTAAGAGCAACTCGAGCTTTATATTTGACATATTTGTTAGAATAAGTGCCCTTCACTAGAGGGGGGGTGAATAGTGAGGCACGAGAATGTTTAAAAATTTTCGCGGAATAAAAATCGCAGGGATAAAGTAAAGAGCGGAATAAAAAGGAGTAAAGGGAGCACACCAAGATTTACCCTGGTTCACCACAACTTGTGGCTAATCCAGCCTCCCGAGAGACTCTCTCGAGCTACACTACTTCCGTTAAGCTTACGGGTGCTTAACAAACCGTTACAACCTGAGAACTCGAGTCCCACGAGCCTCAATACACTTGCT